ACAGGATGAGTCTGGGGAACCACTGGGAGTCATACCTGAGTTAAAACTCCATTGATCACCTGACTAGAATGCCACAGTGATGTTTCATGTCTCCTGGAATCACTATCAGTTTGGAGCCAGTATTCAGTAGTCCCCGAAAGGTCTGATTATTTCCTTTTCCCAACACAGTTACCCTCATAAAAGGCTATAAGTCCTTTGGGGAAGGATAGGAGAAAGGTTAATAGTATAAATTTTCAGTAGCATACCGAGGTCCTTCCTGCAGGGGACCTGGCCTCTCCTTCATTCAAGGGATTCTGGGTCAGTAAACTGGTTCGAATCTGGGAATTGACTGAGGGGCCATGATATTCTTGGCTTTTATGATTCAAGTTAGACTTTTGGTCACTTGACCTGAAAGTTTTCTGCTTAGACAGATCAAGTAAGAATTCAGTAGGCTTCCTATTTCACTTCTAGGAACACCATGATTTAATCAGTCAATGCCACAGGTCTACATGAGTCAGATTATGGTGACTATTGCTTTACCTCTGCTGTCCATTATAGTTACTATGCCCACCCAGTCTTTGTTGATTGAGTGCCTCCACTTTGCCCCTGCCACCCTGGGATCCAAGTATTCCTACGGCATTTAAGTTTTTCAATTGACCGATCATGGTTTTCACTGTAAGGTATGACCTACAGAGAAGAGCAGTCATTAAGTTCTTCAGGGATGCTGCAGCGCCCCTCGCAAATCTATTTCTCTAAGTATTGCTGGAAGGTAAGTGTTCTGGTAGATTTTAAGTGACAAATCCACTTCAGCAATCCAATTTCCTCCCTAAACTTTTGAATTTTTTCCTCTACATTAACCCAAGGGAGATCAGACATCTCCAATTCACTCAGGGTGGGCCATCTTGTGATCCATATTTCAGGCAACCAACTAACCAAACTGTTAGTGCCTTTCCTAACTCCCTGAGCTACAACAATAATTGCAGAATCTCTCTGCTTGGTGAGCTAATATCAACAAATTCAGCCTGATTCAACTTTATATTCCTTCCACCATTATCTCACATTCCTAATATCTAGTCCCATACATGTTCCCCAGATTTCTGCTTGTTAGAAAACTCAAGTTGTTTTGGTGGTATAGTGCACCGTCTCATGGGTTGGTCACACTTTGCACCTCACCTTTAGGGGCCTGCTGAAACCTGGGTGTAGTTATAGGTCTAGAAGCAAAGTTCTATGGTGGTGGGAGTGGGTCTTAAGGAGAATCAGCCTTGCCTTGTTTAGCAGCTGCCTCAGGGAAAGGCACCACAGTAACCTCAGGTGATGCAGAGGTAATCCCCTCAGACAGATGCGGAAAGGCCACTGTGGGTGGGAGGTCATTTCTTTCTTTTTTTTTTTGAGTTGGAGTCTCACTCTGTCACCCAGACTGGAGTACAGTGGCCGCTCCCGGCCACCATAGCTTCGACCTGCTGGGCTCCAGCGATCCTTCTGTCTCAGCCTTCCAAGTAGCTGGAACTACAAGCGCATGCTACCACGCCCAGCTCATATTGATTTATTGTAGAGATGAGGTCTTGCCAAGTTGCCCAAGCAGGTCTCAAACCTGCAGGCTCAGACAATCCACTCACCTCAGCCTCCCAAAGGCGTGGGATTACAGGTTGAGCCACCGAGCCCGGCCATTTCTACTGGCAAACAAGACTCATGAGAATTTAGGCGCTTGCCTTCTCAAGTTTCGTCTGGGTATTTCCACACATTCAGATCCCAAATTACAGGATCTCATTCTTTCCCAACCAATGCCCTCACTTTAACAAGGCTGAGCATTCAACTTGCATTGTAATTCAGCTAATTACATGATGAGGGCTTGTATTTGATTTTCTGTGATTTAAGTCCTGTGGCTACAGGAGAGAAGACTCTAACTCAAGGCACACTTAGAAGCGCATTGGCTATTTATGACAGAGCTGGAGTCAGGCTATAGAATCCCTGAGGTCATCCTTTTCTTTTATTACTTTGTCCTACGACTTAAGAGGAACCTACTAACAACATTATATTCCTTGATCTTTTTTACAAATGTTTGAAAGAATCTCCAATCTAAAAAAAAAAGTATTATATACAGAGTTACCAAGTTTCTTGCCTCTTATAAGTGGTGAACTAAGAGAATGAAATGCAGATATTTTGTGTATCTCTTTATAAGTAGTTCATGCCATAGACTATCAGTAAACTCCTTAGTATTTTGTTTTGTTTTTTGAGTTGGGGGTCTCACTCTGTTGCTCATGCTGAAGTGCAGTGGCATGATCATGGCTCACTGCAGCCTCGACCTCTTGGGCCCAGGTGATCCTCCTGACTCAGCCTCCCGAGTAGCTGGGACTACAGGCATGCACCACCATACCTGGCTAAGTTTTTTATCTTTTGTAAAGACAAGATCCCGCTATATTGCCCAGGCTGGTCTCGAACTCCTGGGCTCAAGCAATCCTCTCACCTTGGCCTCCCAAAGTGCTGGAATTACAGGCAAGAGCCACCTTACCTGGTTGGTCCTTAGCATTTTTAGGTCTAATCAGATTAGAGAGCCAATTCCCGAAACCCTAAAACCAATTAAGGAAATTCATCCTTTAAATTCTCTTCCTCTAGAACAACTTCTCATACCAAAATCTGTATTAATAAAGGTTCTCCAGAAAGAACCAATATGAGATAGAGAGATGTTTATATATGAGAAGATTTATTAGGAAAACTGGCTCACACAATTATGGAAGCTAAGAAGTCCCATGACAGGCCATCTGCAAGCTGGGATGCCAGTAGCATGGCTCAGTCCAAGTCCTAAAACCTCAAACCAGAGAAGTCAATGGCATAATTCTTAGTCGGAGATTGAAGACCTGAGAACCTGTGGGTGGTGAGGTTAAGGGGAAGACCTAGTATAAGTCCTGGAGTAAAAAGGCAGGATAAGAGTTCCAGCTCTAAGGCAGAAAGAGATGAAATATTTTTCTTTTTGTTCTATCCAAGCCCTCAATCAATTGGATGGTGCTACCCACACTGAGGGGAGGAATCTTCCTTACTCAGTCCATTGACTCAAATGCCAGTCTCCTCTGGACACATCCCCAAATAATGCTTTACCAATTCTCTAGGTATTCCTTAATTCATAAAAAGTTGACAGTTGACATATAAATTAAGCATCACATATATTAAAGCCATGGGACAGGACAGGGTCACCTTGGGAGAATTAATACGAAGAAGAAAAGAAGGCCCATGCCTGGGTCTCAGAACACTTAACATTTAGATACTGAGCAAAGGAGTAACCTAGAGTTAGGAAGAAAATCAGGAGAGTGTGATGTCTTAACAGTCAAACAATAAACTTTCTATGAAGATATGTCTATGACTAATGCTGCTAACAGGTCAGGCAAGGTAAAAAGACAGAAGTGGTCAATGGTGGAGACAGAAGCCTGACTGGAGGGAGGAAAAAAATTGTCTTCAATGAATTATTGCAGAACACTGATTACTCTTCAGCACAAGCTAAGATATTAACTTCTTTACCAGAAACTAAAATAGTGCCTCCAAATTTCTAGCATAAAATATGGCATTATAATTTCTAAAGATACTAGACTGGAAAAGCAGCAACGAGTCAGATAAATGTAGATTTGAACCCCTCTTCTACTACTTTTAGCTATGTATCTTTAGGCAAGTTCCTTAACCATATTAAGTCTCAGTTGCCTCATCTACAAAATGGGAATACTAAAAATACCTACCTCATAAAGTTGTTGTGAGAAATAAATGACATACTGCATGTAAAGAGCTAGTACAAGAAAGTTAATCATTGTTTCTGCTCCTGTTTTCATTTTCTTTTTGTTAAATAGACCCTTTTAAAAAAAATCATTGAGCTTTATTGCAATTGGGCTACTTTATTAAAATTAAACATGAGCCGGGCTCAGTGACTCAGCCTGTAATCCCACGCTTTGGGAGGCTGAGGTGAGTAGATTGCCTGAGCCCGCGAGTTTGAGACCCACCTAGGCAGCTTGGCGAGACCTCATCTCTACAACAAATCAAAAAATCAGCCGGGCATGGTAGCGCGTGCCTGTAATTCCAGCTACTCGGAAGGCTGAGGTGGAAGGATCACCGGAGCCCAGTGGGTTGAGGCTGCAGTGGCCGGCAGGGGCCACTGCACTCCAGTCTAGGCAACAGAGCAAGACTCCAACTCAAAAAAAAAAAAAAAATTAAACATGGGAATATCTCATGCATGTTTTCTTAACCTTTTTAAAATATGTGTTCCATCTTTGTAAATATAAAAAGCCATACGTCCACCAATTAAGAGTCTCTAATATGCCCTCTTGGAAGGTATGATACAGTCTGAGAATTGCTTTATAGTCTACATATCTTCATCAGCCAAAATTACGTTCAGTTCTATTTTCTGAAGTCTACATTAAGGAAAATAATAGAGTTATTGGCGAGATAGATTCCTTTTTTTTTTTTTGAGTTGGAGTCTCACTCTGTCGCCCAGGCTGGAGTGCAGTGGCTGCTCCTGGCCACCGCAGCCTCAACCTGCTGGGCTCCGGAAATCCTTCCACCTCAGCCTTCCAAGTACCTGGAACTACAGGCGCGCACTACCACACGCGGCTAATTTTTTTATTTATTGTAGAGATGAGGTCTCACCAAGTTGTCCAGGCGGCTCTCAAACCCGCGGGCTCAGGCAATCCACTCATCTCAGCCTCCCAAGGCGCGGGATTACAGGCTGAGCCACCGAGCCCGGCTGATTCTTTTTTTTAATCTTAGGCTATGCCCATGACTTTTACTTCATTTATAAGGTCAACTGTATGCTTCTTACTCTCCTGCATTTAGGGATTTTAGCCTTTTCAATTCATTGCTATATTTTTAAAAAGTGGTTGCCATTTTTACACAAGATGTTTAAATATTCAATGTATAGAAAAAGAATTAACCAAACAACTAGAGATTATGTATATAAATATTTAAATAAAAAACAGAAATTTTTGTATACCCAGAACTAAAATAATGCCAGTAGATGACTAGCCAAAAGGCTGAAAAGTACTTACCTCAAAGTCAAAGTATAATCTCCCTGCATTTTTGTTGAGGCATCCCGGACTAAGAAGGTACCATCTGGCATGTCCCGCAATTTGTCATTTACCTCCTCCCTGAGAAAAAGAATTATAGGAAAAATGAAAAAATGTAAGTATTGGTGTCTTCATATGTCATTATAAGGCTATTTGAGTGGTGGGTGTGTTTAAGGTTATAATAGAATCATGGAGGTCTTCAGAGATCATTTAGTTCCTCTCCCTAGATATGCTCTTTCTGTTTTGATTTTTGGTGTTATGCAATCTAAGGAAGGGCTATTTGATTTTTAAATTCTACCAAGATTTCAATTGTGTGTAGACGATAATGTTTCCTTAGTCAGGTCTGAACTTGCAGTTTCAGGGAAAAAACAGCAGCTGTTTAGAAAGGTTATATTTAAGCAACAGTGGCAGCTGTTTCTGAACAAAAGGGAGAAAAATTCACAACCTTTCAACATGATATTCTCTATTTTGAATTTTTTTTTTTTTTTTTGAGTTGGAGTCTCACTCTGTCGCCCAGACTGGAATGTAGTGGCCACTCCCGGCCACCACAGCCTCAACCTGCTGGGCTCCGGCGATCCTTCCGCCTCAGCCTTCCAAGTAGCTGGAACTACAAGCGCGCACTACCACGCCCAGCTAATTTTTTGATTTATTGTAGAGATGAGGTCTCGCCTGCCCAGGCGGATCTCGAACCCGCGGGCTCAGGCAATCCACTCACCTCAGCCTCCCAAAGGCACAGGATTACAGACTGAGCCACCGAGCCCAGCTGTCTACTTTGAATTTACACTGATAACAAACTATTTCTACAGAGTTTAAGACTTTAAGGAACAGCACAGAACACTCAAAGGAAATGGAAGGGTATAAAAGACCCTTGAATTAGAGTAGAACCACATGATCTTAAAATATAAATTTAAATGACATTTAAATGTAATAGACTCCTTTATTGTAAATTATTAAAATAGAAATGTTCTAATCAATTTTTAGATAAAATATATTAATTCCTATTCAAAAAATTAAATGTAGAATTGCCATATGACCTGGCAATTCCACTCCACTTCTCGGTATATATCCAAAAGAATCGAAAGCAGGGACTCAAACAGATATTTGTTCACCAGTGTTCATAGGAGCATTACCACAATAGCTGAAAGCTGGAACAATCCAAATGTCCAGATGAATGGATAAATAAAAATATGGTATATTCATATAGAGATATTATTCAGCCTTAAAAAGTAATGAAATTCTAACACATGCTATGACATAATGAACTTTGAAGACGTGAAATAAGTGAAATAAAGCAGTCACAAAAGGATAACTATTATATGATTCCACTTATGTGAGATACCTAGAGTAGGTGAGTTCATAAAGACAGAAAGGAGAATAGTAGTTGCCAGGGGATGAGTGAGGGGAGAGAATGGAAAGTTACTGTTCAACGGGTACAGAGTTTGAGTTAGGGGAAATGAAAAAGTTCTAGAGATAGATGGTGGTGATGGTTGCACAACAGTGTAAATGTGCTTAATGCTACTGAAAAATAGTCTAAATACTTTAAAATAGTTTAAATGGTTAGGGTAAAAAAAATGAAATGAGTACCACGTTGGTAGTGGGAAAGAATAGAGAAGAATAAGGGAAGGACGAGTATATTAAGGAATACAGCATCAGCCTGGAACCTGGTTTGACAGAAATGGATACGGCTTTTTTTCTTTTTTAAGGAAAATACATTTGAGACCCATCAAAGCAAAATTTAATGAGAAAAATAAGTAAATAAAAATAAGACAATATAACATTCAAATTGTGTGTGTGCGTGTGCATTCCCTCTCTAAAATGTGTGTGGTTGAAAATTATCTAAAACCAATTTTACCCAGAAAAGCAAAACTATACTACAATCTTATTTCTCAAAGTGAGGTGTGTAAATCACCTGGAGAAGTAGGGAGGTTGTTAAATGCAGATTCCAGTGATCCACCTCAAATGATTTTTGTGCATGCAAAGATTTTGGAGCTATTGTCTCAGAGAAAGAAAAGTATCGGAATTTAAGTTCCTAAGAAGTATTTTTTATTCTAAAACACAAGTAACAGTAACTATCCTAAATGCGTTAAGTTTCACTTATTCAGAAATCCATTCTCAATAATAGTATTAAAAGTAATATTCACATTCATAATTTAAAGATTCTCTTGTCACTTTTACATGGAAAGAAAATCATTATGACACCTGAAATACTACTGCTTGCAATTTTTTAAAGGTAATCAGCTGGGCTCGGTGGCTCAGCCTGTAATCCCGTGCTTTGGGTGGCTGGGGTGAGTGGATTGCCTGAGCCCGCGGGTTCGAGACCCACCTGGGCAACTTGATGAGACCTCATGTCTACAATAAATCAAAAAATTAGCTGGGCATAGTAGCGCACGCCTGTAGTTCCAGCTACTTGGAAGGCTGAGGCGGAAGGATCACCGGAGCCCAGCAGGTTGAGGTTGCGGTGGCCGGGAGCATGCCACTGCACTCCAGTCTGGGTGACAGAGTGAAACTCCAACTCAAAAAAAAAGGTAATCACTATTTTTTATTTCTATATTTTGAGTCAGAGTCCCACTCAGTTGCCCATGCTGTGCTGCAGTGGCAACGTCATAGCTCACTGCAGACTTGACCCCCTAGGCTCAGGTGATCCTTCTACCTTAGCCTCTTAAGTAGCTGGGACCACAAGTGAGTGCCACCACACCCGGCTAATTTTTTTTTATTTTTTTAAATGGTAATCTTTAAATGGCAACTAGTAGGGCATTAAAGTGTTTTGCTTTGTTTGTTTGTTTGTTTGTTTCAGAGTTGGGGTCTCACAACAGAGTGATCTAGCTCACTGCAGCCTCAAACTCCTGGGCTAAAGAAATCCTCCTATCTTAGCTTCCCAAATTGCTGCAATTATATAGGTGTGAGCCACCGTGCCCAGCTTAAAATGTTTTACTTTACTAATTTTCAAAAATGTTTTTTTAAAACTGCATTTAATTATAGCAACATTCTAGTTACCTTGAAATATCCCCCCAGTACCATTCTGCATCCTGAAGAGAAACAGAACTGTCCTTCATTCCATTTGTAACTGCTGAAGTCATTGGCTTAGGTGGCTTTGGTGGAAGAGCTAGAAGAGAAATGAATATTATTCTGTAGATGCAAATTAATATTTGTTTTCTAATTTCCTTAGTCAGGAGCAGCTCATTAACTAATGGACATTAAGATTATAATTATCTTTCAAATTAAGTGATATTTTAAGCTAAATGTTAGCCAAAGAAGGAATTCTTTTGATTGCCTAAAGCGAAAATTTCAAGCTATTTGGGGTTTTTCTTTCTTATAAAATGCTTTTAGTTCAGTAAGACCTCATTGTCTCTCAAAAGAACCAGGCTTGGTGGCTCAGCCTGTAATTCCGCGCCTTTGGGAGGCTGAGGTGAGTGGATTGCCTGAGCCTGCGGGTTCGAGACCTGCCTGGGCAACTTGGCGAGATCTCATCTCTACAATAAATCAAAAATTAGCTGGGCGTGGTAGAACACGCCTGTAGTTCCAGCTACTTGGAAGGCTGAGGCGGAGGGATCGCCAGAGCCCAGCAGGTCGAGGCTGCGGTGGTCAGGAGCGGCCACTGCACTCCAGTCTGGGTGACAGAGTAAGACTCCAACTCAAAAACAAAAAGACAATGTGAAGCTCTTTCTCAAACAATTCAGTCCAGAAGTCACTAAGTGATCGATGTACATGAGGATTATACTTAATAATATTGTATTGTATACTGCTAACTTGCCAAGAGAATAGATTTTAGGTATTCTTATCACAAAAAAAATAATAATTTGTTTTTTAGTCAGAGTCTCTGTCATCCAGGCTGGAGGGCAGTAGCATGCTTATGGCCACTGCAGCCTCATTCTTCCGCCTCAGCCTTCCAAGTAGCTGGAATGATACAAATGCACCACCACATCTGGCTAATGTTTTGATTTACTGTAGCCACAAGGCCTCACCAAGTTGCCCAGACTGGTCTTGAACCCCTAGGCTCAGATAATTCTTTAGCCTCTGCCTCCCAAAGTACTGGGATTACAATACAAGCTTGAGTCACCACACCAGGCCCAAAAAAAAAATTTTAAAGGTAACTATATGGGATGGTGAATATATTAATTTGCTTAACTGTAGTAGAACGTACCCTCCATCTAGTGTGTTGAACTGCAATTGCAGCTATTGATATGAACTCATGAATTTCAATATGTATAGATATAAAAATAAACATGGATGTAAACATCTGTACATAGAAGGAGTGTATATATATATATATATTCCCTCTGTCCCCTGAGAGGTCCTGGGAGCAATAACACCCCAACATGAACACCTTGCATCCAGATCTTGGTTTCAAATGCCATTATCTACTAAAAGAAACCAGAGCTCTTTGGAGAAATAGCTGATTTCAGGGTAAAGTAGAGCAAGTTACCAAATGAGCCTGGAATATCATGTTGTGCCAAAAAGTAAGGAAGTGCTCAGAAAATGAGAGGGCATATTAAAAGAACAAAGAAGGCTGGGCACAGTAGCTCATATCAGTAATCCCAGAGCTTTGGGAAGCTGAGGCAGGAGGATTGCTTGAGGCCAGGAGTTTAAGACCAGCCTGGGCAACACAGCACAACCCAGTCTCTACCAAAATTTATTAAAAATTAGCCTGGTATGGTGATGTACAACTGTAGTATTAGCTACTTGGAAAGCTAAGGTGTGAGGATCCTTTGAACCCAGTAGTTCAAGTGATCACGCCATTGCCAGCCTGGTTGACACAGCAATATACTCTAACTCTTTAAAAAAAAATTTTTTTTAAAGCCGGGCTTGGTGGCTCAGCCTGTAATCCCAGCACTTTGGGAAGCCAAAGTGAGTGGATTGCCTGAACCCATGGGTTCAGGACCAGCCCAGGCAACTTGGCAAGACCTCATCTCTACAATAAATAAATAAAAAATTAGCCGGGTGTGGTAGCATGCACCTGTAGTTCCAGCTACTTAGAAGGCTGAGGCGAAAGGATCACCAGAACCCAGCAGGTTGACACTGGGGTGGCAGTGAATATGCTACTGCACTCCAGCCTGGGCAACAGAGTGAGACCCCAACTCAAAAAAAAAAGAAAAAGAAAGAAGGAAAGAAAAAAATGAACAAACAAGTCAACTTGAAGGAGCTCTCACTGACCAAAATCTGGAGCAATTAGAGCATCAATATAAATAATGATAGTAAGAGAATACATGGGTCTGACAATTAAGTTTGCAAACTTGCCACCATGTGCTTACATTGGCAGTACTGTACAAACAACTCGTAAGGTTTCATAACCTTGGAATATCAGTATCTCACAGTTGTGTTCATGTCAACCTGCAGCAGTGTCTTGCTGAGTGGCACTTGTTGTTACATGTTTTTGTGTGCCATTTCAAGAATATTGGAGCTTGAATTAGAGCAACAAACAAATGTTTAATTTCTTGTTAAACTTGGCAATAGGGGAAATGAAATCAGAGACATGCTAGTCCAAGTTTATTGGGATAATGCCATGAAGAAAACAGCAGTGTACAAATGGATTAAATGTTTTACTGAATGGCAAGAAAGCATCACTGATGAAGAAAGGTCAGGACAACCAGTAACGAACAGAACTGACAAAAATATTGTAAAAATTCATCGAACTGTGCATCAAAATTGTTGGCTGACTGTGAGAAGCATAGCAGACTAAATAAACATCGACAGAGAAACGGTTAGGAAAATCTTAACTGAAAATCTTGGCATGAGAAAGGTGCATACAAAAATGGTCCTAAGCCAGGCTCGGTGGCTCAGCCTGTAATCCCGCGCCTTTGGAAGGCTGAGGTGAGTGG